CGAACAGGATGTGTAGAGGACTGTAGTAACATGCAGACGTTGCCTGGCGACTGGTCGGTTGCCAGGGGTAACGAGTCATCCTGTATGGACACACCTACTGAGGGATGTTTCTGTACTGGAGGGATGGTTTTGCACCACGGACACTGTGTATCACCAGATGCATGCAGGCAATGTGTCGACCATCATGGACACACATATATGGTGAGATACAGGGTAACAAAAAATATGAATGAATGTGTGAGTAAAGAATACAAAGTCTAAATCAATTCCTTAATTACAGAAATCATGCTAATAGAAATGGAGCAGCCAGTGTTCATCATTAAAAGTGTGCGCCCTCTGGTGGTACATAATACATACATGATAAAAAAAAGAACATGGTTTACTTTTGTTTGTACAGTATATGCAGAGTTGGGTACCAGAAGAGAACCCATGTCTGATTTGCATGTGTTTAGACCAACAACACATCAACTGCACTGCACGACCCTGCAATGATGTCAAAGGTAAGCACCCCTGTCGCTGCTGCTATGTCCATTATATCTGATTTTCTAGTTTTGTGAGACCTGACATTTTTGCAAACAGTAGTTGGTTTAGACATAGCAGTGCTATGATTAATCATCTGTATGTGTGCATAGCTCCAGTGTGTGGACCTTGTGAAATCCTGAGGGAGAAGAAAGAATCCAAGTGCTGCCCAGAGTATGAGTGTGGTGAGTATATACACTGCCAAAAATAAGGGAGCACTTAAATCAAACATTGCATCTTGATGAACAAATTATTCAAAATCATAATATTTTGAGCAGTGTATATAAACTCCATATAAGGAAGCGTACTGTATATGTCACTTACCCACTGCCTGTCTTATTCTCTTATTTTGTGACATTTCAGTATGTAATCTGGTGAACTGTGACCTGCCTGACATGCCCCGGTGTGAGGATGGTCAGACTGTGCTTCTAAAAAACCCAGGAGAGTGTCAGCCTATACATGAGTGCGGTAGGACATTCACACATTCTCTGTGATGTTCAAGCTCTGTTCAGCTCAACAGAGCACACACCCATGTGATCCCCTTCACATTTTTGTCTTCATCCTTTTTCTGTCTCAGTGTGTAAAAAGGACAAGTGTGATCTTCAGGCTCCCCCTGCTTGTCCCACGCATCGCAAACTGTCAGTCAAAAAGACAAAGTGCTGTGACGCGTTTGAATGTGTGTGCAGCTGCCAGAATGTGACTCGCACTTGCCCTGCTGGGTTCATCACGTCCTCCTCTACCAATGACTGTGGCTGCACAGAAACCAGCTGCCTGTCAGACAAGGTGAGTGCGTTCTGATGAAATTTCTAGCGCATAAATATAATTTCATTGCCACTACTGTTTATACTGTCCTGTTTTATTACTGTGTGTCTCTCCAGGTGTGTGTGGTTGGTGGTGTTGTTCATCCTCTTGGAAGTGAATGGGAAGAAGGATGTGAGAAGTGCAGCTGCACCCAGCTACAGGACAAAGAGACCTCTTTGCATATTGCTCAGTGTACCCCACCTGTTTGTGATCGGACCTGCCCTAGGGTGAAACACAGACACATGCACCAGACATAAACATTATCACTGTGCTTCTACCACTATTAATCCTTTTATACTCCTCACATATTTCAGGGCTTTACATACGGTTCATCAAAAGGAGAGTGCTGTGGGAAGTGCACACCAACCAGCTGTGTGGAGTCCAAGGGAGAAATGCGAGGGGACACACTGATTGGAGGAAACCTCAGACATGTACTTATATGTATAGAGAGGAATCATATATACCTGAATAATCTGTGTATTCTTAGTAACTATTTCTGTGTCAGTGCCAATCATTGTAGTGTCCTGCACGGCAAGCTGCACTGATATGCAAGTTATGGCATATATGATTTTTTTCCTCCCATTTTAACTTTGTTCCATCTACATCTGATCTGTGTGTCTTTTTTCATATAAACCTTTCTCATAAATTCTTTTCAATTAATCATGCATTACTGTATACATTAAGATATAGATTTCTGGGAATTACTGGCTGTAATTACAGAAAAAGAAATGTAGAAATCTAATGTGTGACTCTTTATAGGTGGGTGAGGTATGGCAGTCTCCACATGACAAATGTGTGTTACATCAGTGTGTGAAAGTGAAAGATGAGGTGTTCATTTCTGCAACCAATGTCAGCTGCTCTGTTATGGACACTCCATCTTGCCGACTTGGAACCGAGCTACGTTGTGACACACAGGGCTGCTGCCCCAGCTGCCACTGTGGTAAACACACATGCAGACGCATACACAGTTGATATAACAAGTTGCAGTCTGTCCAGCAGAGGACCCTGTCATAGTGGTGTCATCCCAGAAACAGTTATCCTTACCTGACCTAGAATTGGATGCCTGTGTCCTCAACCACACTGTGATAGGAGTAAGTCATGCAGAAAAGTATTCTCTGTTCCTGTTTGAATGTTAAGCCCCTTTAGGCAAATTTGGAATACTGGACAATGCAAATGAAAACTAACTTAACTTGAATGTTTTGAATAGCACTTTCAGTGCTCCATCTTGATCAGTATGTGTTTGTACAGGCAGGGGAGAGGCTGATGGTGGATGTGTGTACACACTGTGAGTGTATGGTGGAGGACATTGCTGTGAGGAAATACAAACTGTCCTGCAGAAGAATCACCTGTCCCTCTTGTCCACAGGTAACTGTTGTACCATTATTATTATTACTATTATTATTTTGTAGCCAGTATCATTTATCACCATCACACCTGATCACTAAACATCCACAATGTTCATTCCTTAATGCTCTGACAACATTTCCTCCATGCTCACCTTTAACTTGTGACCCCATCATTTTACATGATGCATCCATGAATGATTTAGTTGCTATAAAAAGTCCAGGTAAATTTATGTCTTTGTATTTACAGCAGTGTTTTCTGCTTGTCCTCATTTATGAATTAACATACAATAATAACAACAAAATTTTCAGGGATACACTTTGCAGAAAGAGGAAGATGCTTGTTGTGGTCGCTGTGTTCCCACCGCCTGCTTCATGCAAAGGCTAGATGGAAAGATGATCAGTGTTCAGGTAGGTGCTTAGCAGTTCAGGACAAGACAAGACTTTGCAAGACAATGTCTTGCTTATGAAACTTGTCACTCAGATAGGTAAATGAATAAACATTTTTATTTACATTTATTAAGTCTAGCACATTATAAAAAGAAAGAACAACTTTTCAGAAGCAAGAATGTTTCATACTGTACATATTCTATGTGCATGTATGTTTGTCTCCCTCCAGGTGAACACCACCCTCAAGGATGGATGCAACTTGTATTCCTGTAGTGTCAACAGTAAAGGAGGGCTTGCCCTGCAGATCAGAGTGACCACTTGCCCCCCTTTTAACCGTCAAGCCTGCCTGGACATGGGGGTGAGACTGGCTGCCCTTCATCCATCTCTCAGTATTTCCCACACATTTTTCTGAAACTGTTTCTCCCATTCTGTTTGTCCATCAGGGGAAGGTCAGCCAGATTGGAACAACCTGTTGTGAGATGTGTAAGTAGAGCAGTGCCCTGGGCATGACTGGGTCTCTAATATGAACAATCAAGATCAATCTCTAACTCTCTGCTTTTAAGTAAAGTGTGCGCTTGTGTGAAGGTACGGAGCCAGAGTGTCAGAGGACAAAGGGAATGCTTAACTTCATCAAAGTGGATGATTGCTATTCAGAGCACCAGATAGATCTGCACTATTGTGAGGTAACAAACTGCACATGCACACACAAACATTTAAAGATGAATTTTTTTCTTGCTAGGATTAACCTACAAAGGTCAGTGAAATCATAACATTGTCCCTCACCATTCCATGCTTTCTGTGGTACTGTCTATCTGTTTGTTAGGGTAAATGTCGCAGTAAGTCCATGTACTCCCTGGAGAAGGCCGCTGTGGAGCAGGAGTGTGTGTGTTGTGCTGCTGTGAAGACGGAGCCTCTCAGCGTTCCTGTCCTGTGTGCCAACGGCACTCGCAGCCACCACACTGTCCTGTCTGTCACAGCATGCGACTGTCTGTCCAAACACTGCTTCTAGAGAGAGAGAGAGAGAGAGTAAGTGGTGTTTGTATAGCCAAGTAAAATGTACCCACTTAAGAAAACAACACAAATAACAATAACACAATCCTGCCAGTTTTTGAAAGCACTACATTTTTGTCTGTTTTGCTGTAGTCTTAATATTTCTACTGAAATGTATGGGTTTGTAAAGATTGATGTTTCTTGTGTCAATAGTTTAAATATGATAACAGATTTTCTTTTTCAATATATTTCTGAGATATGAAACAATTTGGAGCAAAAAGGTTTATCAGCATTTATCACATTTTAATCATGTTAATCTAAAAGAAACCCACCAGTGATGAAATGTAATAAAGTACACTTAAATTCTAATACAACTATGATGTATTTGTAGTTTATGTGCCTTTTATAATCGACAACAACTGAGAGGGATATGTACTTTTTACTAAATTGCATTCATTTGACAGCTTATGCCACTACTTATATTATAGGTTAGGATTTACATGCAAAGCAAATACTGGGTTTAAGAATGTATTATCATGGATTCAACTATTCAGCAATACATAAAATAAATAAAATGCCCCCCAGTAATACATCTGATGGCTGCATTTGCACTAAAGCAAAAGGTTGATGTCATTTGGTGCTTTTCATAATGTACTTTTATACAAGTCATTTTATATATAATGCTTTAGACTTGATTCATAAAAAATATTTAATAGTTATTCCAGGGAGATAATAACCTTGATTTGCACAGATTTTTTTTTGTTTTGGCTTCATTTGATGTGCATGCCTGCACGCAGAGAGTAGGCGAGGTTCAGCCCTACGTCTTGTCACCTGTAAGCTCTTACACACACACACCTCCCATGTAGCGCTAATATGCATCACACCTTCCTCCCGTCCCCATGGAGCTGTCAGGGAATTAGCCGGCCTGTGCGCACGCATGTTAAGCCAGGGGTTATGGGAGCGCGCGCGGATTGTCCAACATCTCAGCCCCTCGCCAGGCTGCGCGCCTCGCGTCTCATCATTCATCCCCATAGAGAAGAACTGAACCTCCACCAGCACTGGTGAGTCAATTTTATCATCGGAAGTTTGATAAAAGTACAATAAATAAGCGAATTAATTAATTGACTGCACACTTTACCTGTATCGCTTTTACTGCCCTGTTTCCTGCTGTCAGCTTTGGCAGTGTCTTTTTGAACACTTTCATTCATGTATTTGAACTGTATCAGCTTGAATGTGCAATACTCCACAAACCAAGCTTAACTTCAACTGATGCTTTGATTAATTAAGCCTCCTGGCTAAACTGATGTGTGCCTGGATGTTGAGGCTGTTGTATCCATAGTGAAAATGCGGATTAATTATTTGGATTTAGCGTGTACTGTTGATCTTTTTGTTTTGAATGTGAAAGTTTAGGTTACTATTTATAGTGAAAGTTTGATAAGTCTATTTGAGTCTTCGCATGATCTCAGACTTTATTATGTCAGTGAGTTTGCTTGAGCTGTAGCCCGTGTTTCCAGTGACTGTATTAGAGGGTGGGTGCCGTTGACCGTCTCTGCTGTTGAGCGGTCAGCTGCGCCTCTAAGCTCCGCGCTAAGACGCGCACTCCGATGCATTTGCGCTTTTTTACCTACTCCGCGGTGAACAGGCAAGAAGGATACACAAGTATACCAAAATTATTTTGGCCTTTAAAAAAGCAGCAATGCCGAGACACTTAAGTAAACGTAATAATAATGATGATAAAAAGAAAATAAAATACAATATGGTCTCTGAGACCAGTACCGGACCCATGTTGTGATTTCCCCCTAGATCTGTAATTTCCTGTGAGCGATGTTGCCATAATTAAATGAAACCCACTCTATTTGAGTCATTCTACAACTATAATCCAATAATAAAATAAGTACATATTGTGAAAAAAAAAAAAAAAAAAAAAAAAAAAAAAAAAGCCTCAAGACTTTCTTATTGTTATTCAAAATATACTTAATGTACAGGAAAGGTACTCATGCAGAATGTGACATGTCATATTTGCATATTAGCTTTTATTTTTGGATTAGAATGATCAATGCATTATTTTGTTCATTTTAATGGTGTTTGAACTAATTGTAATGATGAATTGTGGGTCATTCTGGTTTAAGAGGGTCACAAGCCAAAAGAAAGGGAATCACTGATTTGTATAGGAGTGTCTACTTTAAATTATATTACTACATTTTTTTCTGACCTGCCGAACTCTAAGTAACATTCTGTCCATAGGTTATTTCAGCCTCTTGATACTGATCCCTGCTTTGTTTGTTTGTTTCTCAAAGGGATGAAACGTAAAAAGAACATATGCCTGTCACTACAGAAATGACTGAGTCATCGTCCATTCACTCAGTTACGCTTATTTCATTAGCCCGATCACTGTCCAGGCTTGGTCTTGACACCATCAACGGCGGCCCCATCAGTGCCCCTGATGAAGATGAGCCCCCTCCATCGGTATGGTCTCCTCTGAAAGTAAACACTGACATCATGTGGCTTTAACATCTAACAGCACAGGTTTCTCCTCCCTGAACTGGGACATGTAATATAATAGTGTTAAGGATTGACACTACATCTGTCTGTCTAAATTCCTTACTTGTATCCCTTCTCACTTAGCTCATTAATTATGTGTGTTTCTGTTAGGAGTCTGGCATTGATCTGGGCCCTGGGCTGTTTTTTACTGATGGCAAGAGAAAAGTGGATTATGTCCTTTCCTACAAATACAAAAAAAGGCAATCATCCAAGGCATGCCTTTCTGTTTCATCCAATGGGAGTAGTATACCAATACCGGCGCTGGGCCGATCGGAAACAGAGTCTGGGGAGACAGGTGCACCTGCAGGAGATGTGGAGGAGCTGAGGCTGTCTGAGGAGGAAAAGGCTTTAATGAGGGAAGAGTTTGAGGCGGGACTACTGGAAGCCGGACTACTAATAGAGCGTGATAAAGAGGTGTGTATCTGCCTTTGCAGTACGTTGACCAGGATTATATTTTCATTTGCTGCACACTCCTATAGATGGGTCAGAGCAATCCTTAAGTGATCACAAATCCTGAGACTGGATGGCTGCCAAACAGATTAAAGATAAGACTGTCTCTCCCTTGAAGCTGGAGGAAATGCCTGCACTCTAATTAAAGAGAGAAAGAATATATATAGGCAACCACTACTGATATAGGCAACATAGGTCACTGGAATTAACACTATTATGGTCTTGGCATCAAGCACGGCTTTGTACTGCAGACATATGCTCAGTTTGTTGTTGACATCACAACATCAGTTAAAAACTGCAGTAAAGTGTGATACCAGTTCACTTGAACAGTAGCTAAAGCTGCATGACACCTTGTTCAACCAAAACTGAAATTTGTGGGTGGAGTGTAACTACATCTCCAAGCAGTTAACACTGATATGACCAGTTCTGTCAAATAGGTCCAACACTGAAAAGCAGTTTACACTGAATGTGTTAAAATTACTCTGTGGTAGTTGAAATCAGTTCTGAAAATTGTAACTTTTTGCTGTAATGGAGGTTGCCATTACCAGACTAGCTTGATAGTGTTGCTGCAATAGATTTTAATCCTGCCACTTAAAAGCTGAGGGTGAGTTTTATCAGTATAAACCACAACATTAGAGGTGTTGCAGGTGCTATTTGAGCCTGTGCAGCTGTACCTGCTCTGCACTGGGGTCATTACAATAATTGCATGGCCCAGAGGCTAAGTAATAGCTTGTCATTTTTCACATTATCAAAACAGATTAATAATGATAATAATATTCTGTGAATAATATTCTGCATTCATTTTTTTAGCCTTGCAGGATTGCGAGGTTCTGGGCTTAAACTAAATGAACAGCCTCATTATAACACAAAGCAGTACACTTACGGGCTTAGAGATGGCTCATGATTGCCTCAGGACAGGCAGAAGCAAAGGCAAAGTATGTAATAGGCCTATTCTGAAATATATTTTCCAGTCACAGGTATGCAGTGATTAATGTGATGAATTAATGTATGCAGTATTTCTTATGTTCACATTTCTTATGCATCTGTGTGCTAACCTTTGTGTTTATATGCAGAGGTCAAATGGCATAGGGTTTATTCGGCTGCACATTCCATGGCCAATACTCAGTCGAGAAGCAGAGCTTCAGAAAATCAAAGTCACTGTGAAAAAGGTCTGCATTTCCATATTCATTGATCTTCTATTCATCCCAATCTCCTGTTTGGACTGAAGAGTCAAAAACCTGTAGAAAGTGATGTGTACAGTGATAGTGAGGACAGATGTGTGTAGTATGGATGATATAACATGTATTGAGTAGATCTGATCAAAAATCTGTTTCACATATGTTTTTTCTGAACAGAAGTGTGAATTACGAAAACGGGTGGGCATTGCTGGGATGTGGGATTCCTTTGTGACTAAAGTCAACATGCCGTTTCAACCAGACGTCCCAGACTTTGACATCCAGAGAGACTCAGGGACACGTGTCTATCTCAAAACCCTCAAACATCCTTTTATCAGAAACAAGTTGCACTTGTGAGTACATACTCTGTCACATTCCAATGTGCACATGTAGTGGAATAGTATCAGAAAACTAACCCCAGGCATGTTTTAGTTCAAGCCTGGCTAATGATCTAGATAACAGTCATACCTAAATCACCTGCAGGCTGTGTGCTCATACTGTAAGATTTTGTTACTTTCACATAAAAAGAACTTTAACTGTTCACACCACTGACATGGAAATTGTATAATCTGTATAGTGGTGCACAAAAACAAGACAATCAAAGTTACCAGTAGTTTTGAACACTGAACTCATAGCTTTTATGAACAGGACTGTTGTTAATTGTTCACATTTGTCATGCCACTGTCATTCACTGCAGATATGACATCAAGTCAACAGAAACTGTATTTGACAATGCAACACGAAGCAGAATAGTGAGTTCAGAAACAAATATATATATATTTTTAGTTTGCTGAATATTTTGTCTTTGTTTTTGCATATGTATTTGAGCTTACATTTGTACCATGTTATGTTTGTTTCTAGGTAGCTGACATTATTTCGCGCACTACCTGCAGACAAACTTGTCAAACCACTGGTGAGGTCTATCTTTTTCTGTTTTATTCTCTTACTTCATACTATTCATATGCATACTGTCAGTCAGATTTCAGGCTGTGTCAGTGTGCTCTGTCATAAAACTGTCGAGCCCTTGACACTTACTTTTTGTGTCATAAGGCATCAAGTCATTATTGGCTCGTGGTGTCTATGACTCTGCCTTCCCTCTCCATGATGTGAGTATAATGGAAATAGCAGTCTCACAGATAAATAGGGGAAGATGGGGAATCGGAATAATTTTAATAGAAAAATACTTTTCCAAAGCCTTTTCTACAATTACTGTATGGCTATGCATGAAATTATATTCTGTACATCAGCATGTCTCATATAAAAAGCTGATCACTTTTTTTTTATTTTTAGGGGTCATTCACAAGGAGAGGACGCAAAGATCAGCGAAATGACAGACAGGTGGGTTGAGTGGCCTTGACAAATGTGATTGAATGTCTTTTCAAACATCCATAATGGTAATATTATTGGAGTCACTGGAGATAATGCCATGCATGCTTCTTGAGGCAGAAACAAACTACTCTACTGTCCTGATTTGGCCATAATAAGTGAAAAACTGGAGGTTTTTTAAGAGCTTGTACTGTTGCATTGTATGTTGGTTTATCTCAAATATTCCTACAGACTTCAGTTAGTTCAAAATCCTGCAGCTCGTCTTCTCACGGGCATTCATAAACATGAATATATTACCTGTTTTGACTGAGCTTTTGACTTTTGGACAAATTCAGTATCATTCAACAGATAGAAATATTAGACATTTAAGATTAGAACGTATTATTCATTTACATAATATATGAAGTTGTGTTCACTGTACAGTATGTTACATGTAATAAGCCAAAGCTGTTGTTTGGTTTGGAAACATTATATAGACACCATGTGCCATTATAATTAATCATTCACTGGTATTTTATTTTTGTCATGTGCTTGGGTGTCCTTCAGGTCCTCCATGAAGAATGGGCTAACTATGGAGTCATGCTTAAATACCAGCCTGTGGACCTGATCAGGTACAGTACTGAGCATTTAGGGCAAACAAAAATAGCCTAGCTTGGGTTTGCGCTGGCACTGTTCAGGTATATAGCTACTAATACCAAAGTGCTGAACTGGAGAAACACACTGATGGATTTGCTCCTTGTAGAGATGTAGAGGTTTGTCCTGGTGATGCTGCTAAACCAAAGGCTGGGAAAAGCTATTATCCTTACAGGTTTATCAGTGTAGAGAAGCTCTTCATATTAGATGAATCATTTCCTATCTGTAAATTTGACACTTTGACCTAAGGATAGTTAAAGATGAAAGGTCACAGTGTGCCTAAAGTGGAACGGGCCCATATTCCCAGTAAAATTGCTCAAGAGATTTTGCTCTTTAGATGCTTAAATATTTGTTCCACAAAAGTGGAATGTTTCATCTGTTAGTTGTGCATCAGGATAAGTCAACAAGTCATTAAAACATTAGGATTTAGTTGTTGAAAATCACTCATTATGAAGCAAATTTCTTGTAAGAGAAGTCACTGCTTTGGAAAGACCTTATCATAGCCTAAAGAGCTGGTTGAGAGACAGTTTTGCCATAATGGTGGTGCTGCACTTCAATCTGACCTGTAGATGGGAAGATACTGTTTACTACTATGAAGCAAAGTTGGACCAATCATCTGATCATTTGGCTGGTAATCTGTAACACTACCATCCCTGGCAACTAGTTAATAGGGTGTCCTTATTTTAACAGGAAATACTTTGGAGAGCAGATTGGGTTGTATTTTGCCTGGCTTGGTGTTTATACTCAGCTCCTCATCCCTCCTTCTGTACTGGGCATCATTGTCTTCCTGTATGGCATATTCACTGTGGATGCCAATGTGCCAAGGCAAGTGGATAAGTACTCTTCAACCATATGCTTATCAAAAGTGCACTGTATTATCTCTGTACATGTAATTATATCACTGTCTGTGCTTTGCACACATTTACCTTTCAGTCAGGAGACATGTGATGACAATCTGAACATCACCATGTGCCCACTGTGTGATGCAGTGTGTGATTACTGGCGCCTGAGTTCAGTGTGCTCACTGACCCGAGCTTCATACCTGTTTGACAACGGAGCCACTGTCCTCTTTGCTATTTTCATGTCTCTGTGGGGTAACCAGACATTTTAATACACCTTTCATACAGAAAGCACAGGATATTTCAATAGACCAGCTCCTAGGAACTGACAGGAAAGACAGTTGGCTTGATTACATCTGTGTTAATTCAGTCTTTACTTATTTAACCCACATAGATGCACTGTCATGGGAAACAACATAAAACAGAACATAGACTGCTTCCTTTCGGTGTCCTGCTAAAGCATTATTGTACAGTTAAAAACATTTTTGAGCAATAAAACATTGTTTAAAATGTCAGTTTTTTTAATACTTGTTTTTTTTTAACATTCCTTGTGTGCATCCTCTTGTAGCTGGCTGGTTCCTTGAGCACTGGAAAAGACGACAGATGTATCTGAAACATACATGGGACCTGACAAGCTTGGAGGATGAGGAGGTACTAAAATAGATTCAAGACTACTATACATACATATGCAGTGCAACAAACATTCACATACAATATACTCGTATATCTGAGAGTACCGACAATCAGAGCCTTCACCGCTTTGCCTGTACCACATCATGAAGTATGAATTTTTGCATCAGTTTTTTTCATGCTCTATTTTCACATTTCCTGTTTGTTAATGTGCCAAGTCAGTAAAGGAGGGAGTGTTGACTTCATGGCCATTAGTTGTGGCTGGCCTTGGAGATTATTTGTCTCAGAACAGCAGCCACTCTACAACACGTTATAAACATGGCCACTCATGCATTCACAACTCTTTAATGGGATTGGTCCCTTCTTAAAGCAGGCCATTTGCTGACTCAGCAGGGTCACATTGTAAACACTCCCAGCCTAATACAAGTTTCTCTCCCTCTCTCTCTTTCTGTTATCTCGTGTTCTTTCTCTTTTGTTTCTTTGTCTCTTCCTTGATTTATTTCTGTCTCTGCTGCCTATAGAAGCGAGTCCAGGTGTGCATGTTAGAAGTGAATCAGAGGTTGTTTTTTTTATTCTAAAACTGTATTGTTTATTGCAATTTTTATAAAGTTGGAAATGGGAACATGTTTGCATGTTTATTTAATCATAATAAGTGTATGCTGCTTGAAAATATTGACGGTTGCCAAGCAACATCATGCTGAGGTGAAAACATAGACCCTGTCTGGCAGCAGGCTACCATCCCCTCAGAGCTACAGATATGAGATCACGGAACTCTCACTCCTGCCCCGGCCATTACAATGTCAGAGAACGTAGCTGTGTAGTGTGAATTTGTGGCTTTAAGTTCATTTCGGACGGTAACTTTTATAACTGGTTACTCAAGCCACTGTAGTTGTCAGGGCCGCTCGGCAGCTGCTGCCTCTCCTCCGTCTTTCTCTCCTCTGCTCTCTTTATCCTGTGGGCTCTGCGCCTCAGCTGTGTTGCATTCCAGTAATTAGCGACTGGTTTGTCGATGCACACAGCTGGGGTGCATCCCGATGATTATTCGCCTCCTTATATAAACCTCTGGCAGACGCTCTGTCTTCACCGGAACATTATCTATGTACCGCGTAATATACAGGGGGTTAGAATGCTACGCTGACAGTTCCTGTGCATTTTGGCTTGACCTTATCCACATTAGCTACTCGTTACTCAATATACGTGCTTTTATCTTCCATGCCGTCAGTCCCATGATTCACCATTTTTTGATTCCCTCCACCATCTCCACTCTACCCGGACCGTATACGTACTTGGACTTTGTTATGTTCTTTTGAGACTTTTGTGTTCTTTTTACCAGCAACCGTTATGTTTTTCCCCCTAGCACCTGGGTCTGCAAACTTGAGTCCAACCTCAGTCCTCCCTCACCCTCCTGGTGAGGGGGGCTACCATAACAACTGTAAAGCTGCAAATAGCTTGAAATGAGGGTGATATGTTCCTCACGTTACGCAGCCCCATTGTTACCCTCTGTGTGTTGGTTTGTTGCAGGAGGAGGTGAGGCCTGAGTATGAAGAAGTTTTACAGGAAAAAAAAGCAAAGATGAAAGCACAGTCCCAGAGGAAGGTATTATAACTGATTGTGTTTCTACGTGTTTCAGATGCAACTAGTACAAACTGCACACGTAGTTATATTGACATGTTTTTAACAGGATACAATTTTCTTATATGTGTGGTTTTACACTGTTACAGGTGACTGAAACTGGGGATGGTGTAGATGGAGAAACAGACCGGATGCTGGCTGCCCAGGTACCACTACACTGCTCTGTGTGATAAAACATTACACAGGGGTAGAGGGCAGGATTGTTACACTGAAGAGATTTAAACATGTTTCATAGTGATTGCTGGTGGATAATCTACACTACACAAGGTCAATGTAAACAAACTGTTGCTATATAGTATAAGTAGACATTGTAGCATGTCTGCAACTTTTTGTGTGTATAATACAGTTATTACAGACTAACTGGGAGTGTATGAGTTAATGTTGGTGCATAAAGAGAAAACTCCCTTCACCTACTGTGGGTGGTTGAGTCCAAAGCTGCTTACCTGCCTGAGATTAGCCCAGATTACTGATGGAGAGGCATAATGGGTGGAGGTAGAGGAAGAAGGAGAAGGGATTACTGTCCTTTCAGATAGCAAACATGCACCTGCCAGACAGAAAACATATGAACATGTGCTCAGCATTACTGTACATAAACCTATGTGCATTCCAAAGTAATATACATGTTTTCTTAGCAGCAAGATCCAGAGTCTCTGGACACTGAAGATCATCTGTCAGGTTATTTCATCAACGTGTCCACCTTATTACTACTGGTACTGCATTTATACTCATTCTCATAGTCATATTAATGCTCATATTCTCATTTTTTAAACCATATATCCATAAATTATCCATCTACACTGTCAGCATTAGTGATCAGTCAGTTCACTTAACTGTAAACACTGTACGTGTGTTGTGTGTTCAGATCTTCGTGACCTTCTCAGCAGTGTTTGGGGTGGTAGTTTATCGTATCTGCATGTTAAGTGTGTGGTCCATGAACCCTGATCCTGAAGCTAAGGCAAGCGTGAGGATGACCGTCACCACCACAGGCATCATCCTCAACATGCTGGTTGTTCTGGTGTTGGAAGAGGTGTATGGAGCGATCGCTGTGTGGCTGACTGAACTGGGTATTGTTCTTATACAAAGCAAAGCATTAAATAGGGATGCCTTAACATCTCATTATGATAGTTCAAATAAATATGAGACAGCAGAAAGACATTGCAACATACTAGGACTAAACAGAACAGGAGATGCAGATAGTAAGGGTAAAATGTGTGAGTGGTGGGTAGAATTAAGAAGTGGCAGAAACATGGATGGTTTACTGAATGGGTATATGGGGCCTACTGGCTCAGAACCTATGTATGAAGTGACAGTTAATATTTCCTGCTGGAAAGTCAATCAACAATAAATAGATGCAAAATGAGTAAAAATTGATGCAGCACAGCCACAAAGAGACGCAAAATTAGCACAAAGACATACAAAACAACCTCAGATAAAAACATGTAAAACAGACAAAAATGACTAAAAAACAAAAAAAAAAAGACCAAAAAGAGTCAAAACACTGGTAAAGAGATGCAAAATGATCAAGGAGATTCAAAACAACTAAAAAGACACACATTTTGCTTCCACCATTTATTTACATTTTGCATAAGTTTGCTGGATACATTAAAAGTATATTTACTGTACATATGTTACCTCCAGTTCTCTTAACTACATTACTTTGCTGTCGCCTGCTATAATAGATTCAGTAAAGGACAGACACAAAGCTGCTACATGTGACTTTATAAAGATGTGGAGTCTTGGTCTGACTCTGAGCATTGGGTGCGTTGTTGTGCTCCTTTCTAACAGAACTTCCTAAGACTAAGAAAGAGTTTGAAGAGAAACTGATCTTCAAGTCTTTCTTTCTGAAATCCATGAATGCCTTTGCACCTATTTTCTATGTGGCCTTCTTCAAGGGCAGGTGTGTAGTTTTTGAAAGTCTTCACTCACTTCTCACCGGAGTTTGACTTTATTGCCTAACATATGACTTGGTCCTCTCTTCTTATAGGTTTGCTGGGAGGCCTGGTGATTATGTTTATGTGTTTGAAGACTATCGCATGGAGGAGGTAGGTTCACTTACACACATTACTACTTATTGTTTATGTATACGTACAGCATATGTTCATCTGTGCTTTGACTAAATGTGTTTTTTTTTTTTATTCACCAGTGTGCTCCACCAGGCTGCCTCATTGAACTTTGCATTCAGCTCAGCATGATCATGCTGGGAAAGCAGCTCATCCAAAACAACGTGTTTGAGATTCTCATACCGTGAGTAAACCTGCTTCTTTTTTTTGCTGTGACTCTGTCCTCTGTCATTTACTGTATATCTCCCTTTGGGTATTTTTCAGAAAACTGAAAAAGATGTACAGAACAATGCAGGAACAAAAAGGAATAAAAAGCTCAGCAGTAAACGAGGAGAGCAAAGCAGAAGAGAAGAGACCAAAACAACAATTTCACAAAGATTTTGCCCTTGAACCCTTTGAAGGTGTCAGCCCAGAATACATGGAAATGGGTGAGTTTCATTTAGTTTCCTACTCACTCCTTTATTTACTCAGTCACTCACTGCTATAATTACACTGTTATTTTTAAAAACTCTTTTGTGCATGTGTCTCTTAATATTTACAGTAATCCAGTATGGGTTTGTGTCTCTGTTCGTGGCCTCCTTCCCCCTCGCGCCAGCATTTGCCCTGCTCAACAACGTCATTGAGATTCGCCTGGATGCTGCAAAATTTGTCACAGAGATCCGGCGGCCCGATGCTGTGAGGTCTAAAGACATAGGTACAGATCACACAGGAAAGCATGTTCATTCGTTTTGTTTCTGTCTGAATGTACATGTAAAATACGCTTGAATTTTTAATCACCTTCTTTTCCTTTTTTCTACCCTGTGCCTCCATTTTTGTCTCTCTTGTACATGTTTGTCTGTCTGTTGCTTTCCCTTACACGAATACAAATGCACACATGAACGGACACACTTTCCCCTTTCCCTCTTTGTCTCTTTATGCACATGCTGTCTCCAGGGATTTGGTACAACATTCTCTGTGGAATCAGCAAGTTCTCTGTCATTACCAATGTAAGTGTCTGTGTGTCTTTACTGTGCTTGTAATATCTGGATAATATCTAATAACCAGTTGATCTGCCAGCAGTAACTGGTACGTGATGATGTGTCATAATATAGCATTGTCATTTTCACTTCTTTTTTGTTTCCTCAGGCCTTTGTCATCTCCTTCACATCAGAGTTTGTTCCACGAATGGTGTACCAGTACATCTACAGTGTGAATAGCACTATGAATGGTTACACAGAGCACTCACTGTCCTACTTTAATGTCAGCAACTTCCCACCAGGCACCGCGCCCAGCACCACCCTGATCCCCGGAGTCTCCATGTGCAGGTCAGAGTGACACTCTCAGACTAGACCTGCCTGGATCCTCCTAAAAATCCTTGAACCCAGCAGCTTAACTCTTACTTTACCTAAATCCCAAAGTTGTCTGAAGTTTTCAGAAACTGGAAAATGTGGCATGTAGCATGGTTTACTGAGGCAAATCTTATTTTAAGAGTTACTACGTTTTTATCTGTCAGGTAACCACTTCAGTTCATTACTCTAGGTTCTTCTTTGCTAATATTTGCACTGTGTTTTTCAGGTATAAGGATTATAGAGACCCACCATGGGCACCAGATGCCTACACATTCTCTAAACAATACTGGTCTGTCCTGGCAGCAAAACTGGCCTTTGTAATATTCTTCCAGGTATGAAAAAGATATTTACAACTGTAGTTTTCTTCAGTGGGTTTAAACCCAAATGTCTCTATAAACAAACCCCATGTTGCTTCATACATTCTTCACCATTGTTTGACTTTATTACACTGATCTAACCTTTTCTTTCCAGGTGCCAATTCCTAATCTGACCACTGATCCTAGTGTTCCCTCACTGTCAAATTTAAGATCTGTAAATAACACTGTGTCAAACTAACTGGGACAATTTTATATAATTTGAGTCTAGTCTATGGTGCTAAAACTGGATCTGAAACCCACCGTGACTTACTGTACTTATTGTATCTGATAGTGGAAACACAGAATTCTATAGGGACATCAACAAAGTGGATATGTAATGCAAATCATTTGGCTGATATCCAGTCAGCTTAATAAGGTCAGTATCACCCTGAAACCACTCCAGTGGAGCAGTGTATCCCTATAGATTTGGGGGTCAGAAAATGAATTTGCCTTCTTTTGCAGCTAACAGAATCTATTAAGCTCTATTAAATTATATTTCCTATAATACAGTTTTTCTGAATTGCTAAAACACATTTCTTGAAACCACCACTCATTTTCTCAAAACCTTAAACACAAATCCAAATACTCAAACTAAATTCACAAAACCTGTGACTCGTCTGGCAAAATCAAGCAATTGCTTCAAAACCATGTCACCAGCACTCAAAATCAAACAATGCTTTCAGATCATACACAGAGTCAATCATATACACACTACAGCTCAGTCATTAGACACTACATCAAAAAAAGGAGAACACAGCATACAGGACATGTAGTTACAACAAAAAGGTTTATTGTATAGTGAATTTATCAAAAAAGAAAAAGAAGTCAAAAACACATCAGAAAGATTATTCTGCCTCAGGATCATGTCTTTTAGCTGGGCCCGGCCACAGGGCTTCATCTATGTCGCAGGCAATGTTGTCCCTTGCCAGGCAACGGGCAAAAAACCCTCTGGTGTGGCGGATCCAGCCTTGACAAGACTGCACATCTATGTCACCACAGGCCAGTTCCATTGCCTGTAAGAGATTTTCCCTGGTATATGGGTTTTGGTCATAAACTTTCCAACGCCATGCAGAGAAAACTCTTCTGTTGGGTTGAGGACAGTGCTGTATGGTGGAAGGACCACATTCTGTTCCTGGTCTTACTCTTCCTTGTCCTTTTTGTCCAACACCTTTTATTCCTCTACCTCTCATATTGTTATCCATAGTTGATGGATGTACCTGTGCCATCTGTGCACTTTAACTGGCTTATGATTTGTACCTTCTCATCACATAATTAGAAATAAGTGTGAACACTTTTGAATGGTTGTGTGGAAACGATGACAACTGTGCTTTAGTTGTGTTTAAGTT